GTAAAAGGAAACTCAACATGCTCACTGAAAGGTTAGTCAATGCAAAAGAAACTCAACAAAGATGCGGAACAACTATTCAGTTAGACAACTCAATCACATTGAAGTACTCCAGACTCAGAAAGGTGAAGGATGGTGACTGAAGGAAAGACCCTTAAAGAGACGGATTATTGATACAGTGTCTGTGGCTCTGGACTCAAATGATGAGAAGAACGTTTGTATGTATGTATGTATGTGTATATATATATAGTTGTTACGTGCCATCGAGTCGCTTGTGACCATCTTCTTTTGATACTTTCAGGATCATTGTATATGTGTGTGTGTTGTTGTTACGTGCCATCAAGTCGCTTGTGACTATATATGTATCTATCTCGATATCCAGCAGCTATGAGTTGGTTCCAACTGAATGATATTGTCAAGTTGGAACCAACCCATAGCTGACCCTCAAGTGGGTTTTCAGAGGCAGTTTAATTGCAATAGAGGAGACTGTCCATCCTTTTCCTGCAGAGCAGCTGGTGGATATGAACCGCATACCTTTGGGACTATAATACAGCTTCTTGCCAACAGGCTACTACATATTGAGAAAGTATTTAAAAAGCATACTTTTCCCCAAGATAAAGGTTACGATCAACTAGGATTCATAACAGGCATGTAAGAATAGTTCAACATTAGAAAAACTATGTAATTAATAAACCAAAGAAAAAGAATCACATTAGAAAAACATAATTAATCACATTAATAAAGCAAAGGAATTGAATTTTACCCATTGATGAAGGAAAGGCCTTCAACAAAATCCAACACCCTTTTCAGATCAAAATACTCAATAAAACAGGGATGTGGGGAATTTCCTCAACACAGTTAAACATCTACATGCAAAACCAAGAGCCAACTTTATTCTCAAAGGAGGGAGACTAAAGGCATTTCCCTTGCAAACAGGAACCAGACAAGGTTGAGCACTATCACCATTCCTATTGAGTATTGTATTAGAAGTCTATGCTACGGCAATTAGGCAAGAAAGAGAAATAAAAGGGATCTAAATCCTCCAAGAGGAAATAAAACCATCACTGTATGCACATGACATGATAGTATACATACAAAATCCTAAATACTCAACACAAAAACTGTCAGACCTTCCGGGACAATTCAGCAGTGTGGCTGAAAACAAGATCAATATACAAAAAGATTTCTCTACAGCAACAAAGAAACACAAAAAAAGGAAACAGGAAAAGTAATGCCTTTTACAATAGCCAACACAAGATGAAATACTTAGGAATAAATCTATTAGAGACACAAAAGATCTATATAAGGACATCACAAACACTACTACATGAAACTGGCAGAGAAATAGTGAAATGGAAAATTATTTCCTGTTCATGGATAGGACTCAACACTGTGAAAATGACAATCCCACCAAAAGCAATCAACAAGTTCAATGCAATCCCAAGAGACACCAACCTCACTCTTCAAGGAGCTAGAAAAGACAATTTCCAATTTCATTTGGAAAGGAAAGAAACTGAATAGAAAAGAAGTCTTCTGAACGAAGTGGGAGGCATCACATTCCCTGATCTCAAAACTTGTACAATGACAGACAAGCAGACCAATGGAATGGAACTGAGAACCCAGAATTCAACTCATCTACTTATGGTCAACTGGCCGTTGACAAGGAAACAAAACTCATTACATGGGGAGACAGTAAACTCTTCACGAAATGGTGCTGACAACATTGGACATCCACCTGCAGAAAACAGAAACAGGATTCATAGCTCACCTGTCTGTCCCCCCCCTCCCCCACACACACACAGAAAACCCCTAAATATGGATCTGGGATCTATGGTAAAAACACAAAATCATAAAAATCCCAAGAGACAAAACAGGAACAAATTCGTAAGCCCCAGTTTACAGTAGCGACCATGAGGACTGTGCAGGACTGAGCAGTGCATCCTCTGCTGTAAAGCGTTGCTATGAGTTGGAATCCCAAGGACAACACCTAGCTAATAACTCAACCAGCTTTCACTGACCACAATTTTAGATTCATCCATTTAGTTACTTTTTCAATAGTGCTTCCTTTTCATGATAACATAGTGGAGTATTAATGTAAAAGTAATTTTGCAGATCACATTTTGCTGAATGATTGGTAAACATCTTTTTAAGAAACCATCAAACTGTTTTCTAAAGAGATTGTGTCATTTACAGGTCTGTTGAGTTCTGTGAGATTTTCAAGAAATTGTACCAGGAACACCAACATCTACTTCATGAATCATGTTCTCTAATTCTGCTTCTGTGGGATTCTCCCAAGAAAACACATTGTTGTGGTGGTTGTGTAGCACTGAGTTGGAACTGACCCACAGATGACCCGCCAGCGGGTTTTCAGAGGCAGTTAATCACAAAGGAGGAGATTGTCCATTCTTCTCCTGTAAAGCAGCTGGTGACCTTGAACCGAGTGCCTTTGGGATTGCAGCACAGCTTCTTGCTACTAAGCTACCAGAGCTCTCTAGAGACCACCTTACAGTTTCCAATTCCTTTGCTGCTATAGTTCTCTCATAAGTCCTTGTCAAATACTGAAAAAGCACCTCTGAATTCTATAATCTGCTCTTCTGCCACGCTGCAAGTGCTTGGCCAGCTCGCTGTGCATGAGCTCTCCACATTCCCTTTAAATGCATTCTAGTTGTTCTGTTTCTAGGGCTCTGTTTTCCTTGTCTTCTAGTCTTCTCACTTCTGCCTTATGGTAATAGCTGACTTTTTCATCTCATATCATGACTTCTGTAATGGAGAATGATAATCATGGGTTTCCTCTGGGGTCTTATCGTTCTCTAAATTTTGGTACAGGGTCAACTTAGAGTAGTTTTAGCTCAAGGGTTAAAGAGAATTGAGGGTAAGAATATCAGAGAGCACTCTAGACTCAACTGGCCCAGGAAATAGGAACTTCTCAAGAATGTGAATCCTGCTTCACATATTTTCTTCTGTTTTATCAGAATTCATTTTCTTATAACCCTGATGAGAACGGTCAGCAGGCATAGCCTGGCATCCCTTCATTCTCACAGCCCCCAGGGTGGATGAGGCTGAGCTGATGTCGGCGATTAGCTCCATGGACATTTCTTCTGGGAGATTTTGGATTCCTTCTTTTTTGTTTTATTCCTGATGAGACCAACAGTTGTACATTCATTTTGTTTCAATATTTTTTCCTATGTTTTCAGTCTGTATAGTTTCTATTGCTTTGTCTTAAGGATTTTTTTTTTAACCTACAGCATCTAATCTGGTGCTAATCCCACGTAGTTTGCATTTTACCCCACACTTTGTATTTCTGTTTCTTTTACATTAAATTTGCGTATTTTCTTTCTTTGAGAAAGTGAAATCTATTATGCTCGTGCTTTCCTCCACTTTTTAATTTTTTTTTACATTTTATATTGGTCTACATACGAAATGTGTTTGCACTGTGTTTTGTCTATGTACACACTGTGCTTTGCACATTCCTTAATTAATACTGTTTCATAAGGTCATTCCCAAGCACTGTGTTTTATAAAAATCCATCACCACTGATTTATTTTACCACTCTTGTCTAAACTCCATCATCTATATTCTCTGTCTTTTCTGCATCCATTATCTCATCACTTAGTTTTCTCTACAGGAATCTTGGAACTAGGGGGATTAAGAAACACTGGCTCAAAGTTTAATAATACTTTTTTGGTGGGGGGAAATCTATAAACCTACAGACTTAAGAAACTAAATTGACTCCAAGCATAGGAAACATGAAGAAAACTTATGCACACAAAATATTTAACAAAAGTAATTAAATTTAAAAAATTAAAAAAAAAAAACCAACCAGTGAAGTGCTATTTTTTTTTAAAGCAGTTAAAAGGAAAAAAAAGCACAAAACACAAACCTATCAACATATATACTTGATAAGTTTTTATCAGATATAATGAATTTTCTGTTTTGGATGATGGATTTATTTGGAAGTCACTTAAATATTTCTGGGCTCTCTGTGGGATGCTGTTATTAGGAATGGGTTTGGTTCTTTTACGGGTTACTTTAAACTTTGCCTAGCTGCTTGACTAATTTGCTCAGCATACATATTAACTAAATATATAGAGAGAATACAAGCCTGACACACTCCTGTCTTAATTCTAAACCATGCTGAGCTCTCCTAGTCTGTACAACAATCTCCTTGTCCAGGTATAGGTTCCTCATGAGCACAATTGAGTGCTCTGGGACTCCAATTCTTCTCAATGTCAGCCACAACTTGTTATGATCCACACAGTCACATGCCTGTGCACAGTCAATAAAGCACAAATAGACATTTTTCTGGTATTCTATACTTTTAGCCTTGATAATCTGACATCAGCAATGATATCCCTGATGCCACGGCCTCTTCTAAATCCTGTTTGAGCTTCTAGCATTTTCCTATTTATGCACTTCTAGCCATTTCTGAATGATCTTAAACAGCATTTTACTTGCATGTGATATTAATGATATTGTTCAATAGTTTCTACATTTAGTTGGATCACCTTTAGTTTAGTTGGAATCCCATAGCAGGATGATAATATAATAGAGGTGCAATGCTTATACCATGTCATTTTTAATATCATGCGTGCTTTAGGATGTAACTGGATTTCCAACTAGAGATTCCAGGAATATATCTCTTCCACTTGATACCTTAGGATATGTATATATCTATCTCACTATGGTAAAAGTTTGTTGTTGTTGTTATTGCTATATAACATTGAATCAAACCAACCCAGAGCTGACTCTCCTGCGTATTTTCAGAGGCAATAAATCACGCAGGAGGAGACTGCTTATTTTCTCCCACCATAGAGCACATACTGGATTAGAACCACTTGTCTTTAGGCTGATAGTTCAACTCCTCACCAAGGATTGCATAATGGTAAGGATTATGAAATACAAATAGGGGATGAGGTAGCTTTTAAATTCTGTATTAGCACAGACACAGATGTCTTTTTCTCATGAAAACATACACTATAAAATGATTTCTGCAAATTACTTACTCGTCCAATTCTTCTTCTTCCGTTTTAGAGCTATCCGCATATAGGTACTTGCTCATATCCACAGGCCTCACATTTTTTCTTTTCGTAGAAAGGGGAGGCGAATCCTTTAGAGCTGCAAAGCTTTCTGGCTCATCAAATGGGTTCAAACGTTGTGGAATCTGTATCTCTTTAAAGGGATTATAGCTATTGTTATAAAAAGATTCTTCTGGTTTTTTAGGTGAAGCTGTTTCAGTGACTGGATCTACAAAACAAAATGTATTAATTCATATCAATATTATGTGGTTATTGTCATGATTTTTTAAATGCTTTTAAAAATACACAATCTTGAACTAATAGATTCTGTGTAGTGGCTAACAACAACAAAAACAACAACAGCAGCAACAAAAAGGTGGTTTGAACTCATCAGCTGCTCTGAGGAAAAGAGAAGAAACTGTTTGCTACTGTTCAAGATTTAGTGCCTTGGAAATCTGATGAAGCACTGCCGTGAATTGGCACTGATGATACATTAAGTGCATTTGAGTTCAGTTTCATGGAATAAAAGAGTGGAAAACAATAATGAACCAAGAATATAATTTAGAGGGGGCAAAGGAATTCCAAGATTTGAAGTTGTTATAACTAAGATCTTGGGCTACTTCTCATGGACTAAGGGTCCTAAAAAATGGCAATTTTAGACTGTGAATGTTTCAAGGGAGGCTTTTAAGTCTTTAAAATTACTAGTATTATAATATGTCAATTTTGGAAATGTTAACCTCCTCAAAGGTTAACAATATCTTATTGTGATTAGCTTCCACTTTTTATTGCTTGTCATCTAAATTGATACTTAATAGATTTTTGTTTTTAAGAGAACATGAAATGGATTTAAGGTTGAAATGATCTTTTAGTAGCTGCACAAATAGACCACTGGAAAATCTGGAAATTGAGTCTAGACTACATTAAAATTTTACCTACACTTTAAGGAATCTGTTTTCTCAAAGTCATTATGCCTCAAGACCTTAAATCTTCAAAGTTGTAATGAGAGATCTGAATTTGGCAATAAAATTTAGGTACAAAAAATAAGCTACTTAATGCAAAAGAAGACCTAAGATTCCTTGGGTCAAAAGTACTACTATAAAACCACATAAATGATATTACACAAAATTTTTATAATTTCATTATTTCAAATTGAAAAAAGTATTATTGAAACCTTAATTCTCACAACACAAAAAGTGCTACAATTACATCATACTTCCCGAATGCTAATAAAGTTCTTTGTACCTCCTTGTATTCTCCTAATTAATATTTTAATTCTAATTTTAAGGAAAAATTTTCAAAATCTGCTAATGGATTTTGCATATAAATATATCTTCCCAAAGGGTAAAAAATTTTCAAACAGTCACTGATCATAGTACCATTAAAGAGTCATTTTCATTTCAACATGCAATTCTTTTTTTTTTTTCAACATGCAATTCCAACAAAGTATCTTAGGACACAATATTGTGAAGAAGGCAGAAAACTGTGGAATCCTCAAGCAAAAGAACTGGATAATATCTAGCATTTCAAAACAATTTAATTATTATAGAAATTTCATGAGAACCATATATTAATGACATTTTAAAGCCATAAACTTTTATCTAAGCTTTCAACATTAGCTCAGATTGAAAAAATAATAATAAAATCTGTTACATCAACAGACAGGCAAACAAAATGTGATATACACCAATAATGGAATATTACTCAGTCACAAAGAGAAATGAAGTTTTAATAAAGTCTAAAGCTTAGATGAACCTTGAAAACATTATGGTAGATTAAAAAAGTCTGTCACAAAATAAAAAATAATAGATGATCTCACTTACATAGAATAGACATTTCTGTACAGAACAACATTTATCAATGGTTACAGGAGTCCAAGAAAGGAAGAAGAAGGACTTACTGAACAGAGGGCTCTTTAAGAGTCATAGAAACATTTGGAAGTAATGCTGATGGTTACATATAACATGATGGATGTAGTTAAAATCATTGACATGAACATGTAATTATCACTATTCCACTGCGCTCTTTCACAATCTTAAGTATTTTCTTTTCTCCACAGAAAAAGAGAGTAAAAAGTGTTGCCTATCCAATGCTTATTAACAAGTATCAAGGCTCAAATGCTTAAGAAATTGATCAAGCTCATCAATGGAAATAGAAGTTTTATTTTTCTTCTGAAAAGGATTGTAAGAATTGATTCAAGAAAACTCCTCTGTTGCAAAATGAAAAAGAAGAACGTCCACAAACTATAGAGAAGATGTGAAGATAACGAGTAGCCAACAAAGAAGGGTTTAAGATTGTTTCATGTAAAGCTAACAAATACATTTAATGTGTTTCTAAAAGAGTCGCTCAAGCAGAATATCATGAATTATGGGGAGAGAATTGGAACAGAACAAGCAAAAAGAAGACCATCTAAACAATGCCACACACTTTCTACCAAATACCTGCATTAACTTAAGATGTAAACATTCACTCATTATTGCACATTTCCCTCCCTCCCTTGCCTTCCCCCTCCCACAGTTAACTTTCTTTTAAAAAAATTATTCATTGTTGCACAATTTCCATCCAATTTTTAATCAATAAGAATAAATTACTTCTAGAAAAGTATTATAGCAATAAAAAAATCATTACTCCAAGGGCTTTAATAGTCATATATAGTTAAAGAAAATGCTAGTTGTCACATTTTCTCTTCGTTCACAGATATGATTAAAAATTCTTATTCAAGTTCATTAACTTCTGCTTAATAAAAATGCACTACATGATTTTAACAAATGTATCATTATACTATTCCATTCTTCCATAGACACTCTTCAATATGTACTGAAGCTCAACATCAAGAAGACAAAGACTCTCACCACTGGGCCAATTGGCAGCACCATGATAGATGGAGAAGAGATTGAGGTTGTTAACAGCTTCAGCTTCTTGGTTCCACAATCAATACTCAGTACCAGCAGTCAGGAAATCAAAACATGAATTGTATGGGAAAAAGCTGTTGTCATGACCTCTCTAGAGTACTAAAGAGCAACCATGTCAATCCAGAGACTAAAGTGCGTCTGATCCAGGCCATAATCTTTGCAATTACTTCTTATACATCAAATAGCTAGACAATGATTAAAGATGACAGAAGAAGGATGTGGTGCTGAAGAAGAGTATGGAACATACCATGGACTGCCAAGAGAACAAACAGGTCTGCCCTGGAGAGTGTAAAACCAAGATGTTCCTTAACAGCCAAAGATTCGGTCTCACATACTTTGGATATGTGGTCAGGAGGGACCAATATGGCTCGGAAGGGTGGAGGGGCGGTGCAGTGAAGCAGAAAAAGACCCTGGACGAGATGGATGTCACAGCATTTGGGGCAATGGGGGTAGGTGTGTCAGAGTCAGTGAGGCTGGCTCAGGACAGGGCAGGCTTCAGAGCTATGAGTCACTATAAAACATAGGTGACTTGATGGCACATAATAACAACAATACAAATTACTTATTTGATTTTTTTAAATCAAAAGCACTTTTATTTCAAATATTTAATACCTCTGATTCTACTCTATGAAAAGAAATTATCAAACTAGGTTATTTCTAAAATGTATTGCAATCCAAGACTGAGGGAGTCCTGGTGGCTTAGTCTACAGGGAGATGGATCGTTAACCCAGAGGTCTGGAACCACCAGTAGCTCCAAAGGAGGACTGAAAAGGGCAGTCTCTTCCCTTGAGATCAAAGACTCCTGAAAATTGCAGGAACATCAGCTATGAGTTGGTTCCAAATTGAAAGCAATGAGGTCTTTTTTTTAAAA